ATCCAAATTGGAAAAGAGGAGTTAAAATTATCTCTCTATGCAGATGATATGATAGTATACTTAAAAAACCCTAGAGACTCAGCAAAAAAACTATTTGATGTAGTTGACCAATTCAGCAAAGTAGCAGGATACAAGATCAACATAAAAAAATCAGTTGGATTTCTCTACAGTGACAAAGAGAATGCAGAACTGGAGCTAAGGAAAACAATACCCTTCAAAATAGCTAATTGCAAGCTTAAATACTTGGGAGTATATCTAACCAGAAGCACAAAGGACCTATTAAAAGAAAATTACAAAACATTACTACAAGAAACAAAAAGAGATCTGGAGAAGTGGAAGAATATCCCTTCCTCACGGATAGGAAGACTCAATATTGTGATACTACCAAAGGCAATTTACAAGTTCAATGCAATCCCAATACAAATACTAATCCCATTCTTCAAGGAGATGGAAAAGGTAATCTCAAACATCTGACGGCGCACCACCGAGATCTTTTGTCTCAAGAGACCTTTAAGAAATCAACTCTTGGTATCCTCTGTCGCCTTCACGAAACCATGCACTTTACTGGTATCTATTGCTCAAATTGTTCTGTGTTGGTTTCTGTACTTTAAACAGGAAACTATAGGAATGGTAGCTGAAGCTTTCCAGTCTTCGTTTTACAGGATCCAGAAGCAGAAGCTCTCCGCTCTTCGTTCTTTTTCGATTGATGCAGGCATGTATCAGAGCTGATTGAAGTTGCATTGTATCTGATGAGTTAAAACTTGTGCTGTATCCGCTGAGTGAAAGTTATATTTGATGAGTAAAACATGTGCTGTATCTGATGCGTGAAAAGTATATTCGATGTATAAAACTTGTGCCTGTATCTGATGAGTGAAAGTTATATTTGATGAGTAAAATTTGCTGTATCTGATGAGTAGGACTTATATGTAATGAGTAAAACTTGTTCTGTATCTGAAAAAAAATGAATTGGGGAGAAGGGTGGGCAGTGAGAAAAGTGCAACAATGAACGAATATGGAAATCCAAAGTCTCTGTAAACTTTCATTAAAACGAATTTTTTTTAAAAAAAGTTCTTTATATCTACAGCCATCTTTCAGCCCTCATATCAACAACACGGATTGCATTCCGGAGTCTCCCCTTCTCTCACCGTCTACCCCTATACTCTCTAATCAATCACTTAATTCTTTTGTGGATGATTATTAAATATCTCTGGAAATGATTACCTTCTCTTCATACTCATTACAATTACTATTAGCTAGCTCGCCATCAGGGTGGTATCCTTCATAGCGAGTTGCACTGCTAAACCAGTTTGACTCCACCAGCTGCTCCTCAGGAGAATTATGAACACTCTTCTCTCATTGCAATTTACTACCTCAGAATCCAACTGACTATGAGCTCTTGAAGTCAACATCTTTTACCTGAATGAAAACCTAAAAAAAACCCACTTTTTTTTTAAAAATTTTTGTGTGAGTGTACTGTCAAATCAGATCTGACTGGTACAGGAGGAGATTGTCCCTCCTTTTCCCGGCAGAGCATCTGGTGGATTCGAACCGTGTGCCTCTGGGATTGTAGTTGCAGCTCCTTGCCACTAGGCCACCAGAGCTCCCCACAAAAAAGAAACCCTTTTATGTAACCTCGTTGTCTTCAATTACGACTGTATAGGATTTATTTTCTAGATTGCAAACAAGTGAAATTTTTACAATAATAATGTGATATCAGTCTTAGAATTAAGTAGTTTTCCATTGTTCTGGAGGGATGTTCAAAGTATTCAGCCACGAGCTTTTAAAAATATAACAGCCTGCCTATCTTTTCAGTTTTGAGCCTAAAAAATATTTTCTTAGATTTATCCACACATATTCAATTATGGATTTGGAGTGGTGTACTCACCCTTTGGAATAAACACTGGCTTACTCCATTTTGGTCTCTCTGAGCACACAGTTTGTCATGAGGGAGTGCCCAATAAAGTTTTGTTGGGTGCAAGAGTAAGTTATTAAAGGAGTTAAAGAATCCATCAATGAATAAATAAGCATTATCTATCTTTTCCAACTCCATGAGACTGATTCAAATATCTTCTTTGCTCCCATCATAGCATTAAATATAACCTTAAAATTGTAATCACTTTTATTAAAAGAGTGCATGTAACTCAGCTCAAGAAATCTGAAGAACGACCACTTGGCCAACTGACTGGAAGAGATCGATATTTGTTCCTATCCCAAAGAAAGG